CGTTCCATACAAGGTGCCGTACATATCACCGTGTCACGAGATTCACAATAACGGAGTCCTTCCTGGCATCGCGGTTACTATATTTTCACTTTTTTATAAATCGAAATCGACCATGCTATTTTACATTATTTAACATGAAGACCGTGAGAAGTTGAGCATGTGGGCGGAGTCTCTGGGCGTGTGGGTGGAGTCCCTACTTGTTTTTGGAGCTTTGGCCCGCAAATGAGGAACGAGCGGTAGCCTCGGAGACCCCGCCCACATGTCCAGTTCACTCGTGATGATTCACGCGGCCAATTCTATTCATCATCAATCGGCTTAGATCTGTTAATTCGAGTACATATTCCCATCCAACTACTTAACTAGTACTGCTAAACACTCTTGTGTTGTGTTTTTTTTACCCACCCACGTGCCTTAAGGTGTTTGCTCATCGATATTCGATTATAGTGTATTGTTATTCTATATTTCTTCGATATTTTGTGCAGTCTCGGCAACCGAATCCTGTGTGATTTCACGTCCATGACGATATTTTTTCCGTGTGTCGGTACGGTATGTTCGTACGGTACCGTAATAGTATATATTACTGTAGTAATTAGTTGCCGTAATTAAGTTTAATACATTCAATAATTCAGTGGCACTTATTCAGCGCACCATATCTATCTCCAAGTTCAGGTGCTTTGTTCGTGTTTGTGAGTGACTGAATGAGAGTAGTGATGATAGAAATAATTCAAATTTTATACTTGCCCCGCCACGATAAATTATTTACATGATACAGTTATTATTATTATGCAATAAAGAGTATATTGATTAATAAACTACTGTTAATTGTGGTGCTTACATATATTGCTCAATGAAAACGGTAAACAGATTGTGAGTCATTGACTCATCTCCTTAGAAAAGAGTTCAAAAAATTTCCAACTAATCCATCAAAAACAGAAGAAAGGGCGCTGTTCGCCTTAGGAGGGGCACTATACACTTTCGCTAGTCTCTTTTGCTAGCTCATTTGAATTAACTGGTTACAGTTGGATGAAACCCGAGATTCCCGAGGAACTGCGAAATTTTTCAAGTGAACTGCAGTGGTTACGAGAATTTGCAGGTCTTCATAAGGTGTATGAACTAACAGTGCTAGGTACCTTTTGCTGC